TGACCAGTTACCACAGCCACAATGATGAGCTCCACGTCAGTGAAAGACCCTGTCTCCAAAATAAAATAGTGAAGACTTACATACTCAATATCAATCTCTGGTTTTGACACGCATATTTGTGCCTGTACACAGCCACCATGTGAACACATCTTCATATGCAAACATGTGCACACACCTACATACACAACCTGAAGCTAAATATCTACAGACTACTGGATTGCTTCAGTGCGTGTTGACAAAGCGAAGGATGAAACGGTCACAAGCAAAATTAAACTCGTGGTCCACCTCTCTGTTAAAAATGCTACATATATATAGTTCAACACAGTTCTCAAAAGGCCTCAAATACTTGACATATACTGCTGAAGAAAGGCCATCTTTTTCAGGAACGACAGCCAAGGCTTTTCTAGTTGGACTCTGCTGTAGCTGCCTGGGTTCATTTCTCATCTTCATTCCCAACACCTTCCAGCTCTTCAAGTTCACTGAATACCACATCTCTATTTAGTGTCTTATACAGACCTGCAAGCTACTAAGGCTAACATTCTCTACATTTACTAAACTGTGCTTTTGTGTCTTCATTCAAATCTCTCCCTCATCTCTTCCCCCCTTCTCCTTATGGTTATTTCATTGTAACTTTATAAAATCATCTAAATTTCTCCCCCGTTCCTGTCTTTAGACTATTTATCATGGTGTTTGTCTTAAACGTGTGGTGACAGGAGAGGAATGGCTGCCCTCTCCTCCCAGGCCCCTTTCAGAGCTACACTTTTTGCTTTTCTGGGAACTTGCCCATGCAGCTATAGACTTGACATTCCTCATCTGCTGTCCCAGTGGCCATGAGCCTAATTTTCAATTAAATGACTTTGAACAAAAGCCAATAAGCCATCTCCAGTTCCCGGTTCAGGAAAATTTCACTCGGACTGGAGAGGCAGCTCAGTGACAAGAGCACACATGGCACTTCTGGAGCTCTGTACCCTCCAGCTCCGGGGGATCTGGTACCCAGATCTGGCCTCTGTGGGTGATGAGGAAGGCGTGGCAGTAACAGCATGAAGTGGCTGGTCACAGCACATCCACACTTAGGAAGCAGACAGCAGACAGGGAGTGGGGCCATTCTATCAAACCTCAAGACTGGCTTCTAGTGACTCCTATAGGCGCTCCCTTCTGAAGTAGTGGTTCTCAACCTTCCTAATGCTGTGGCCCTTTAATATAGTTCCTTATATTGTGGTGACCCTAACCATAAGATTATTTTTGATGCAACTTCATAAGTGTAATTTTGCTACTGTTATGAATCATAATGTAAATATCTGATATGCAGGCCATCTGATATGTAACCCATGTAAAAGGATCATTCCATTCCCAAAGGGGTCATAGCCCACAGGTTGAGAAACACTTTTCTAAAGTTTCCACAACCTTCCAACCCCTATTAGGGACCAAGAGTTCAAACTCATGAGTCTATGGTGGGAATTTCACATCTAAACCACCACAGAGTGTGGTAACAGATAAAAAGTAGCCAGAGATATACCATAGAGTGGGGTAACAGGTGAAAAGTAGCCAGAGATATATCACAGAGAAAAGTAACAGGTGAAAGGTAGCCAGAGATATACCACAAAGCGAGGTAACAGGTGAAAAGTAGCCAGAGATATACCACCATTAGCGAGGCAAGTGACAAGCGTGCAGGGTTTACTATAGTAATAATACGTCCACTGTTGAATGGGTTTTTAAACTTTTCTGTAACAAAAGATTAAAGAGAGGAAATTTCCCCTAAAGAAATGTGATTGTTTTTTAGTAATTTCCAAAAGGAATCAAGATGAAAGAGAACTTTGTATTGAATAATCACACAAATTCTGCTATTCATGGTAGAAATGTTGCTTAAGTATTCACTGTTTTCCTTACTAAATGATTACTCCTGGAGCTAGAGAGATGTGGCTTAGCAGTAAAGAACCCTGGCTGCTTTTGCAGTACAGTTCCCAGTACTCAAATAAGGGCTCTCAACCATCTGTAACTCCAGTTTCCAGGGGATCTGAAGACCTCCCCTGGCCTCCTTGGGAACTGCATGCACTAAAAGAATTGCGTGAGTCTAAGGACAGCCTCGGCTACATAACGAATACCAGGTCAGCATAGGCTACAATGTAAGACTTTATAACACACACACACACACACACAAACACACACACACACTTAGTAAGAGGTCACTTCTTTGTCCCGGCTGCTCTGCCCCAAAATAATCACACAGAAACTGTATGAATTAAATCACTGCTTGGCCTATTAGCTCAAACTTCATATTGGCTAGCTTTTACATCTTAATTTAACCCATTTCCATTATTTTATATTTTACCATGAGGCTCGTGGCCTACCAAAAAGGTTCCAGCATGTCTGTCTCTAGCTGTGGCTCCATGGCTTCTCCCTGACACTACCTCCTTTCTCCCAGCATTCAGTTTAGTTTTCCTTGCCTATCTCTATTCTACCCTATCACAAGCTCACAGGCTCAAGACAGTTTCTTTATTAACTAATGGTATTCACAGCATATAGAGAGTAATCACACACACACACACACACACACACACACACACACACACTACAGAAATCAACCAACCCATCAACCACCCAACCAGACACCAAAAACAACTCTCTCTCCAAAGAACAGAGAAGTCAATGTAATTAAAAGTGCTCATGATTACACATAGTGGTTTATGATTTTTGAAAAAGAATTTTATTTTCATCTTGAGAAAATGGAAAGCCGTAGGAGGTTTTTTTAACAAGAGGTATAGTATAACACAATTTATGACTTGAAAAATTATGGCTGCTGAATGAAGATTTGAGTGGAAAGAAAAACTCTAAATATTGAATATAAAATAGTATTTAAACTTAAGTTTAAATACATATAAATTCATATAACGTTATATGCACATACAGAGAGAGAAAACAAATAGTACAGTGTGTGTGTGCACGTGTGCGTGTGCACACGAGCACATGTATGCACAAGTACACTCTCCCATACACACAGGGACTAGAGGACACCTTGGGTGTGCTTCGTTCCTCAGACACCATCTACCTTGTTCCTGTAATAGGGTCTGTCACTGACCTGGAGATCATCAAGTATGTTGGACAGGCTGACCAGTGAGTCTGCCATTTGCTTGCTCGACCTCCAGCACACTGGGATTACAAGAGTATGTCATCACACGAGACTTTTAAATACGCTTTTTTTTATTTTATAAAAAGAAAACAATCTTTTTTTTCATTTTACATACCAATGCTTTCTTAAGTTCATTGCAGATTCAAGTTCTCTACAGACTCAGTTATCACAGCCATGACCTTCTTGTTGTCTAATGCAGTGAATACAGTTTAGCAAAACTAAGTCATAGGAGCTTGTTAATTCTAAAAGGTTTCCGGATTTTTAGAGGTTGTTTTGTTATCATTTGTTTGATGTGGCTGTTGTTAGCTAAATAGCATCACATTCTAAGTCATGGCCTTCCCTGGACTCCCTATCACGGTGACGGTCATTGGGTCCTTGGTATCAAGCAATGACAAGCGACCAGAACTGACCATGTTCTGGTTCTAGAGCATTCTGAATCATGGGGACTCAGAAATCCTACACCACGCCTTCACTAACTGTGTCCAGCATTTGCTGCCCTGCAGCTGGTGCCCTTTCAGGAACATTGTGCTTTTCCTGAAGAGCAGGCAGCACTGTCCATGTGCCTGTGGCCAGTGTAGCAGCTGCTTACTGGGTTTGTTTAGCTGCCTTGGGCTATTAAGATGACAAACCTTTCCAAGAACTGCTATAGGGGCTGCAATTCCTATGAGACTGTTTGGTGAAGGCATATTTTCTTCGGTGATTTCTAAGGAAATTTCTCAATATTTCAATAATATAAAAAGTAAACAATAATTTCATGTACACCCTGTGAGAAGCAGGACTAACTGGGGGAGGAAGGAGGTAATGGAAAGAAACAATTACATACTGAATATATATTGAATGTGTATATTTGCTAGTGGATGGCACAGTAGGTATAAAAAAGGCACACACAGTAGGTATAAAAAAGCACATAAAGTAGGTATAAAAAAGACATCAAGTATAATCTCAGGTGTTGGTCTGAATGATAAGAAGACTGGAGAGAAGAATGGATTTTTTGAGTGTGAATAAAGCATTCTGTATATGGGGGGATTGTTCATTTTTTCTTTCTTTTTGTATGTGTGTGTGTGTGGGGGGGTGTAGTCCAGACTGACCTCAGACTTGATGTGTAGCTGAGGATGACTTGAACTTATGATCCTCCTGCCTGAACCTTTAAGGTTAGGATTACAGGTGTTGCACCATCGTGTTTGGTTTATGCTGTGAGGTCCTGGGACCCAAACCCAGGACCTTGTATATGCTGGGTAAGCATTCACTCACCTGAAGCTACATTCCTACACCAGCAGCCTTGGCTTCTAAAGACACGAGTATGTTTTGAGTGTTTTATTAAACAGGCAAGCAGAGCTTCAAGTACCTGTTTGATCTGTGAGTCTAGAGTTCCATGTCTGAACATTCTTAAGAATAAATAACTTTAACCCAACAGTTGCTATTCACTTGGTAAGAATCATGAGTCTTTTAAGATTAAATTTCAATATATTCATCATGACTCATGTGGTTGAATTGCTCATGTAAGAAATAAATTCAAGCCCCAAACTCTGAGTAAAAAGCTACACAGATGCCCAACTTCCGGGTTTTATTATATCACACCCTGAGTTAACCCAGAACATCTCTCTACTCCTCCCTTACTTGAAGATGCAGGAGGTAAGGATGATGAAATCATGCTTTGGTAGAAGATCTCATTTTAGCCTAGTGACAAAACGCTCACTTATGTAGGTCAGTTGACCGACTGTGGAGACTGCTACGAAGGAAATACAGTTTTTAGACAAGACATAGGAGATTCAGAGCTAAAGAGCTCAGGTTCCCATGCCATCTCAAACTCAGAAATAAATATCAAAAATAATATTGTCATACGAAAAGTCAAATAAACCTGTAATTCTATTTTGCCACAGATCTGAGAATGTACTCTTAGAAGATGGTTTCATCACTGTGTGGTTCCGTGCCTCTAAAGATGCCTTTCTTGGGGTTTTGGATGTGAGATAATTTTGTGTAAGAGGACTCACAAAACCACACAGTGAGTATAAAGGAAATGTTTTAATAAAATATTCAATACAGTTTTTTTTTTGAGAAAGTTGAGAAAACACTTGAACAAGAGCAAGGACTTAGCTTTTCTGCGGACTCTTGTCCAGTTCTACCCAACAAACTGTACAGAGAAGTCAATGTATAGGATTAGTGATTGATCAAATACTGCTTAGAAGCAGACAGATGTAAGAGGTTTTCTTTATGCTTTCTACCACATACAGCATCATGAAAAAAGAATAAGGTTGACATATAAAAGGTGATTGGAGCATTCCCCTTCCCATTCTATCTGCAGGTGTAGAATGAGCAGTAGAAACAGCATAGCCATGAGCTCACCAATTACATGTTTCAGACAAACTCAATTTTTGGCCAGGTGTGGAATTCCAGGTCCAATCCTAAATTGTGTTTCAAAATGAGAGCCATGAATACCTTCTGTGTTCTATTCAATAACTTTAGCATGTCACAGTGACATTCTGTGTGTGAAACAGGTGTGAGCTGTGAGTCTTCTGCATTGAGTGTTATTGTTTATTAATACAGGAAGTTCTATTTCTTGAATATGAAATATTTTTCAGTGCATTAAACTGTGAATACTGCGTTCCAACCCTATCTTGGTGCTCAGTCTAATATTCAGTCATCAGAACTCAATGAGTAACTTTTTTGGGACTGTCAGCCATCAGAACTCAATGGTACTGTCTCAGGTTGTCAGTCATCAGAACTCAATGCTACTGTCTCAGGTTGTCAGTCATCAGAACTCAATGCTACTGTCTCAGGTTGTCAGTCATCAGAACTCAATGCTACTGTCTCAGGTTGTCAGTCATCAGAACTCAATGCTACTGTCTCAGGTTGTCAGTCATCAGAACTCAATGGTACTGTCTCAGGTTGTCAGTCATCAGAACTCAATGCTACTGTCTCAGGTTGTCAGCCATCAGAACTCAATGCTACTGTCTCAGGTTGTCAGCCATCAGAACTCAATGAGTAACTGTCTCAGGGCTGTGAGCCATCAGAACTCAGAGTGACAGTCTCAGAATCATCCTGCCGTCATGATTCCGATGGGCACTGGTTTCCCTCTGGAGTCATGAATTGCACCTTAGGCACCATGAGGGAAGAGTTATTCCTCCGGATGGAGTTGTTTCTCCTCATAGAGTTGTTTCTTCTCATGGAGTTGCGCTTCCTCAGAGAATTCTGGTGTGATAGCTCACTCTTTTGGAGGGTCTGAATCAGGATGGAAGGCTTCTCATCCAGCTCCCGGGCACTGCATCTTGGGGCAGCCACCTTCACAGTATTACCAAATTTAGAATAGTCCACAGCGTACACTCCTTCCTCCTCGGTCACAATCGACACGAAGCGGTGTCCCCACTGGATCTCCTCGGCAATGTAGGAGGTCCGAGCCTGCGTGGTGATGCCAGTGGTTTCCACCACACCCTCCAGAATCACTATGACCTCCAGGTCTTGATTGGCAAGGTCGGTTGCTGAGATATCATACAGGGGGCTACGCTTATCAATCACATGGCAGATGATCAAAGGGGCTACTAGGAAGATGTTATTGCTCTCAATGGGATTATCCACTGGAATGTCCAGCTGATGAATCGGCACCACCTCCCCTTCGGGCGTCGTTGTTTTCTTGACTACCTGGATGCGCACTGAGGCACTAATTATCATGCTCTTCCTCAAATCACCCACCCGGAACATGAAGCACAACTTGCCATTGCGGACCGCGATCACAGCATGGCGGCTGAAAATCAGAGTCTCCGCCCTTCTGTGGGCCTGGGCCGTTTTCATGAAGATGCAGCCCAACATGACCGCGTTGATGATCAGACCCACAATGTTCTGCAGAATCAAAACCGTGATGGCCAGAGGGCATTCCTCGGTCATCATTCTCCCGCCAAATCCGATGGTCACTTGAACCTCAATGGAGAATAGGAATGCAGACGTGAATGACCTGTAAGAAAGGACATCAGAAATAACGCCAGGCCAGAGACCACATGCTGAAAACAGCCTCGAGTCTAGTAAGAAATTCTGGAAAGACTGATATGAAATATAAGCACCCTCTTCTCTCCTCCCCCACTTCCTCCCATTATCCTTTTTCTCCTATTCCCCTTTCCGTTTGCACCTAAGTACATATATCCAGATTTGGAGACACAATTTCAATAATATTTCCTAGATCATATACTGTGCAACGACATTCATAAAATAAATAAATATAAATTGTAGATATATTCCACTTTCACCAAAGTCCAACTTATTTTGTGAAATTTTATACCACATGGGTGTTTCTTATTTCTGACTTTCTCGTTTTTAAGAGATTTGAATCATATGGAAGGTATTGAGTAATAAGCGCAATATTTACTATTTATAACTCATAAAATTATAGTCATTATTCAGTGATTAATTGTTCTGCTTACACAACTTAGCACGGTGCTAAAACATAGTATAAAAGACACCATCTTCAAACATTCAAATTTTAATAAGAATGATTTTCTATTTGGAGGAGTAGCAGTTTCTCTTGATTATCTCGTTTTGTTTTCTAAGTAACCCAGAGAACGTGGAAGCTATTAGCAGAGTTTCAGATGTCAATTAGTAAATGACTATGTCAAGACTAATATAAAGACAGCTTCCCAGAGTCCTATCAGTTCTGGCCTGGTGTTCTCAAAGTGGCAAGAGGAAGGTGCTAACAGGCATCGGGATTTTCTTGGGGAGTTTTTTGTTTGTTTGCTTGCTTTGCTTTGTTTTGTTGTTATTGTTTTGTGTCTGTACATCTCCTCTCCATCTTAGCGAATGAACAAGGGTTTGCTGGCTCCTAGTGGACCTGTGCCTCTCAGAAAGACTCCTGGATAACTCTGCTTCACCGCTAATGAAGAAGCATCAGTTTTGGTTCTTAACAAGGTTTGCACTTGGCTGCATCCCCTCTTCACAGCCCCTATTCCTGCCATGCACCCTAATCCCAAATTTCCCTAATTTCATAGATGAGAAACCCATACATTAGCAGTCTGTCAAAATACTATTTGTGAGTGCCAAGCACAATGAGGAAACAAAGCATTTGAACTTTGAGCGCCCAGTACACACTGCACTTTGGCAGGAAGCCAGGAGAGCGTACACATCCTTCAGTTTTTAAGTAGGGTCAGAAAGGGGCCGTTCATCTCTGTTTTGGCTAAAAGGGTTTGTGCAAAACTATAAGACCTGACTTCTGCCCTACTTACACACCATGAGATATATGGCATGGCCTGAAAATACTATAGATAGTAGGGATAGATTCCAGAAGAGGATACAGCACATATAGTGCTGAGTTTGATAATGGCTTATGTGTTAGAGAAGAACCTAATGAGGGACTTCCCTCTTCAAAGTCTGTCTCCTTGGCTTCAGAAATGGTTCACGGGCTATGTTTTCATAACGTTTATTTTAAAATGAAATTTAATTTCTCTAGCCAGCATAAGATCCTATCTTTTTCTGGCCACCTGTCAGGCTAAACAGTCTCAAGAGAAAAAGCATTTAGGGGTGCAGAGCTGGGGGTGTATCAGCTGAATAATAATGAGAAAAATAACATAGTTTCTACTTTCTGATTCATGTTAGAAAGTCATCTGCACAAAGGAGAAAGCAAGTCACCCTAAAAAATGAGAGTAATTACATGGTGTTTGGAAACACAAGGGGAAAGCCGGGGAATAAAATCGCTTCCAAATTTGATAGTTCGGTTGACACTGAATTTATGAAAGGAATGGAAATTCAAATAATTAGAATTATTAAGCATCTTTTAAGTTCTCTAGGAAGAGAATAAAGCTTTAAATAATGCTGTGGAGTGTGATCCAAAAGTTGGCACTGTTCTATTCTGATAAAATCAAGTTTACTTCATTGTAATTCTGACACCATTTCCTATGGTTCAACACCAGCAGGCAGGCATCTAGGAAACAGATATTCTTCAGAATGTCTTGTTTGAAAAATGGGAAGTAACAAGAAGCAACTTTTAGGAGCCAGTGAACACTATAACATTTTCTTCACAGGAAGAATAATCTCTTTTGATTTTATATATATATATATATGTGTGTGTGTGTGTGTGTGTGTGTGTGTGTGTGTTTGCTAAATGATTTCTTTTTCATAGACAGTGACAATAGACTGTCTTGAGTAAAATTGTTTTCAAGGTTGTCATGATTATTTCTCCCATTGCTCTTTGTCGGGATCTCTTGCCTGTTTGCTGGAATCTTCTTTGAATACACCACCCTCCACAGCCATACCAACGCCAATAAGTTCCTCAGAGCACTGTATGACAGTAACATATTAACTTCAAATGTTTTACACATAGGACTTTGTTCTCTGCATCCCTCATGCTCTGCTCACCAGACCTTCTTATCCACATTGTTACCGAGGCAAACGCTGGAGAAAAGAAAATTCTGTGTGCCCAGTGGTAAAACTGCGGGTCAGTCTAGTGCATTGTGTTCTCCCCAAATCTGAGGGGGATCTCCGTGTGTTCTAGGGTGATCTGTTGATGCACTGGCCTGGCCAATGGCGAGAGGGGGTAAAGTCATTCATCTTTTATAGGATCCCAAAGCCACTAAAAGTCTACTTCTTAACCGTTTCCTGCCGGGATGATGCTTCTTCAGTTTCTCTGTCTGATGAATTGTGTGGATTTGGAACATGATTCACAAAACACCCTGGAGATTTTCCCAGTATTACCACTGTTTTTATCCAGTGAACATTTCTGCATTTGATATAAATCGTATCTCCATCCAACGAAACACATTAAGAAAAAATTTGCCCCACTGCAACATTCTTGGGTCTCCTGGGAACACCAAAGGAGAGCCACAGAAATCAAAGGCACTTTAGCTGTCTTTGAAGCATCCGTAAATGCTCGATCAAATTTGTGTAATGAAAAGCTGTTTTTTTCCTGTCCTGTGGGAGTTTTGGAAGGGGAGTCTTCAATATGCACTTGTTACTCAGCCCCTTTCGTGTAAACTTGAGCTAAATTTCACTGAAAACGTCTCTGCTGAATTTAAGCTTCCGTTTTTGAATCTAAAGCAATCTATCAGATACATTAAAATAATCTTAAAGAAGGGCTTACGTTTATTTCAATTATTTTATTGTTAGCATATTTTAAAATCAAGGGCACTTCATGTAAAAGTTTCTCACGTTTGCACAATACTTTTGGTAGACTGGAGATGTTTACTGGTGCAAAACATCATTATGAAACTGAGCAGAGGTCCGGGAGTCAGGAATCCTTTGGAGCCATCCAAGGTTAACACAAAGACGCAGTCAAGCAGTCTCAAAGACCCAGACATCAAAGGACATTTACAAATACTTTTAATGAGCTGGCCTCCACCCTGCACCCCAAAATTGCTTTCGTTTTTGTTTCTGAGCTGTCCAATGAAAACCCCTTATGTCACCATCACCTACATGAAAGAGATTTTTATTTCGACATTGCTGCCGACCCGCGTGTCACCCCATTTTATTCTTACCTGACATTGGTCACACAGACAGTGGACTCCAGGCCGCTCTTCTCCATTGTGCTTTTCTCCATGTAAGCATAGATGTCCCCGTGGGCGAAGGCCACTAGCCACCACATGATAGCGAAGAGCAGCCAGCTGCAGAGGAAGGACATGGTGAAGATGACCAGCGTGTGACGCCACTTCAGGTCTACCAAGGTGGTAAAGATGTCCTGTAGGAAGCGACCCTGTTCACGGATGTTCTTGTGCGCCAGGTTGCAGGCTCCGCTCTTGGCAATGAAGCGGGCTTTGGGGAGGCGGTCGCGGATGCGCGGCTTGCGCAGGTTCTCGGCGGCGATGCGTGCCAGTACATACTCCTCGGGGATGATGCTCTTCCTGGCCAACATCTTCCTGTCACCATAGCCTGTCTATGCACCTGCCCGAACCTGCGACTCCCTTCCTCCACACGCGTCCTCCTACGCCAGAAAAAAAAAAAAAAACAGCTTATTAAAATCGGCCAACTTCATTTCCTCGCCTCGGGTCCTTGTACATAAGGGATACCTTTTCATACACACACGAAGTGGTATGCAAAATTGAATGAAGATGGTTCAACAATACAAACGAGAAGCTAGTTTGTGTCTGAAGTCTGAGAACCCCGAAAAAACTTTTGAAACAGAGGATTAATTTTTTCCTTTTCAGAACCAGAGGAATTATTTTTGCCTCTTCCCTGTTACCCTGTGTGCTCTTGTCTCAGATATGCAAATCTTACAGCATTCTCTGTAAATACAGCCTCGAAGAGAATTCTGTGATTCAGCGCGTCTCGGGATTAGGGCAAGGATACGTGCACACGCCGTCAAGGAAGAAAATTAAAGCCAGCTGGGTTGACTACCCGCTCGTTATTTAAGTAGAGTAGCAGGGTTAAAAGTAAAGAAAGAGGAATTCTTATTTTTAGTAGCCGGGAAGAAATTGCTTCCTGCTCTTTAAGAAAATGTTAACGGTAATAGACAAGGTACCGAGCGCTGTACTTTTGAACTTGAAAATGAATGATTTAAATTGGAAGGATTTAAGAGACGCATTTTAAAAAGCAACCTACCTAGCCTCCCCTCCACTCTCTACCTATCATACTATATACTGGAAACTAATTTGTAACACAAGGATCAGACACACAAGCAGGGCTTGCGGTGGAGTTCAGGGCTTGAGCCTGGCTGGGTGCATTTGGGCTGTGTGGGCTTTGAAGTCACGGGCTGTGCTGTGACCGGCTTCCCCTAGTTCTCCCCGGGAGGAGCAACGCAACTTACAGACTCAGGGCAGCGCGCGCCTCGGCGAGAGCTCCGCGCACCTCAAGGCACACCGCGGGCGGGTCCCTGTCTCTCGCATCCCGGGGCCAGGGGCCGCCACAGCCCGAGGGGCAGATCCGGGGGATGCTGGTCCTCCAGAACTGAGTTAGGACTCTAGAAGGTGCGATTCACTGTGCACGCAGGGAGGAGGGCTGTAGGACGAGGGATGGGTTTGGTACCCCCTCCCTCACTGCTGCCGGACTCCCGGAGGGCGGGGGAGGAGTTGGGGGAAGAGATGCGGGTGGTTGTGTTCTGCTAGCTCCTCAGCCGCCTAGTTTGGGCCAGAGGTCCTAGTGAGCAGGGGAAGGTGGAGGCGGAGACCAGTCTTGGGGAGGGAGGGAGCGGGTCTGGAGGGAGGGACCACCGCAGGAGGAGGCACCCGCCAAGTCAGCTGGGTTCTCAGTAGCCGCTACTCCGCTGCTGGTCCAACACACACGTCTTTAAAAGGCTCGCCGCTCAGAGAACTTTTTGAGTCCAAGTTCACTGACGCAAAGAGATTTTAATTTATTATTTTTTAATTGTAACTTTGGGAGATCACTGGGTTGCTTCAGATTGAATAAAACCAGATGGAGAGAGTTTAGGTGTTCTGGGTGGGATGAGGAGGGAGGAGTGGGGTGGGGTGGGGTGGGGTCCCAGTCCTGAGAGCTTTAGAACAGAGGGTGAGAGAGTTGAAATCCTTTCTAATAAAGTACTTCACCACTTAAGACCGATTCTTGGGAACTTAAACACACACACACACACACACACACACACACACACACACACACACACGAGCACAGACGGAGGGAGGGAGGGAGGAAGGGAGGGAGGGGGAGTAGAAGGGAGGGAAGAGAGAGAGAAAAGTGGAGGGGAGGGGAGGGAAGGAGAGTAGGAGAGGGGAGGGAAGGAGAGTAGGACAGGGGAGGGAGGGGAGGGAAGGGGAAGGGAGGGGAGGGGAGGGGAGGGGAGGGGAGGAGAGGGGAGGGGAGGGGAGGGGAGGGGAGGGGAGGAGAGGAGAGGAGAGGAGAGGAGAGGAGAGGAGAGGAGAGGAGAGGAGAGGAGAGACTAACAGCAAAAACTCCATGAGCAATCTCTTCCAATAAAGAAATTTACAATCAGCAGGAAGGCCTGTCTACAACTTGGCACCATCAAGGAGCAGTCAGTGCTCAGGTTTCTGGGTTTCTGACTTGTGGTCGCCCCTCCCGTCCCCCCCCCCCCTCAGGCCCGGCCCCACCCTGCCCCATCTAGATTGTGGAATGATAAGGCAGTGCATTTGCAAAGAAGAAGGATTGTACAGTAAATATCTTTCTATAGCTTTTGAGAAGGTGCCAGGAGGGACAAATGTGCTTTCTCCTGAGGGCCCAGCCTCTGTTTTTGGCGCTTGGATTAATGGAAACTTTAATTCTTGGAAATTTTATGTGTTTTCCCAGACTTGGGGGTCGAGAGTATATGAAGTATAAACAACACGCTCATTTACTAGAAAGACCTAAAATTAGTCTTTAATGAAGGAAAATCAGTTCTCCCCACCTCCTTTTTTTCCACTGTGGGTAGATCTGTTTAACCCCTTAAAGGCTGGAGCTCCTGTCCCCTCAGTGGCTTCTTTTTGCATCCTTTGTTTTCTGCTGTTGTGACCCTATAGCAGCCACTTAGATGCCACTTGTACAGTGAGTCCCGCCACTGAAATACAGTTTGCAGTGCAGCGTGCTGTGCAGTTTATTGTCTGCTAATTTAACACCCAAAAAAAAATTAACATTTTTTCACATAAGACAGGGCATCATGTTTTCCAAGCTGGCCTAAAATTTGCTGTGTAGCTTAGGATGGACCTTGAACCTCGATTCCTCCCACCTGTCTCATCTAAGTGCTGGGGTGACAGGTGACATCATGCGTGCCTTCAGAGGTTGTGCATGCTAGACTCTACCAACCAAGCTACACCCCTACTCCTTCTCTCTTGTTAAGTGATTTTACTGCTGTCCTTTGAGACAGGATTTCACTGTGTAGCCCAGGCTAGCTTGTAGTTCACTATATAGCCTAAAAAAGCCTGAAATTCAAGGCAATCCTCTTGACTCAACCTCTTGAATGCTAAGACAAAAGAAGTGATGTACCTACCATACCTGGTTATTAAACATATGCTATGTATTTATATAACTAGAAATATATAAATATATGTCACTATTGCTGATCTTCAGAGACAGACGGCAATAGTAGAAGAGATGGGATATTGATAAGATCTGACACAATTAAGCATGTGTGTAGGTAAGGAGGTAAGAGCAATGGCTGCTCTTCCAGAGGACTTGGGTTCAATTTCCAGCACATGTATGGTGACTCTCAGCCATCTCTAATGCCAGTTCCAGGGGATCCAACATCCACTTCATACCTCTGTAGGGACCAGGCATGCATGTGGTGCATAGACATACATGTAGGCAAAACAGTTGTACAAATGAAATAAATAATAAAAGATTAAAATGTTAAGTAAAATGAAATACAGAAGGTACCATAGGAATTCAGGACAAAGCAGAACAGGCTGGGATACCATGGGAATGTTTTTGGATTTTTTGGTATCCAATCTCATCTTTGAAAAACTAGGTCTATTTGGAGTATATTAAAAAACAGGGAAAAGACATTTCATAGACAAGTAGATAGCCATGAAATGTGGGCAGGTGCCCTGGTATAGCAGAAGTGAATCTACTCAGCAACTAGGAAGCACTCATAAGGCAGCAGGCAATAGGCTAGAATGCAATGCTTTCTGAGCAGCCCAGTCACTAGCTTTCTTAACACAAACACTTGCTCATGTGGAAGTCAGGTTATTTGTAGACACTACAAGCTATTATTTAGAAGTAGAGAATGTAAGGGTTGGGTTTCATTGTCAAGTTGGCTGGATTAAGGATCACTGAGGAGATTTGTGAATGTGTTTAGAGAGAGAATTAGCTGAGGGAGAAGACTCATCTGGAACATGGACAATATCCCACTGGTTGGGGTTCTAGACTGAGCAACGAAAGGAGAAAGGGAGCTGAGCACCAGCATCCACTTGTGAAAATGGGCACTAAAAAGAAATCCCACGCTAGCTTAGAATTGAGAATTAGAATAATAAAGGGTTATTTATTTAGGGGTAGACTCACAGATCACAGTCCTCTGCATGAACAGGGAATAGGAGCAGACAGAATCCAGCAGACAGAAGAGATAAAGAGAGTGCACACACATTACATGGGCATTTATAATATAAGAGGCCATGCCCAAGTGGGCTGGTATCTTAAACGCTACTAGCTGAAGGAGTTCCTACAGTACCTCCTCATTTTGTTTAAATAAGAGAGTTCTAAGCCTAATACACAATTATATACAATAAGAACAAATATCAAGTGTAAAAATTAAAATTACAACCAGCATAAACAATATCAAGCAAGAAACATGATAAATGTTTCAATAATTATCCTAACCTAAGGAGTATAAGTCTTGTATTAGAAATATCTTGGCCAAGCCATGAGAGGAAAGTAACTAAACTATCTAGTCTTCAACCCATTGAAGACCTGAGAAGGGAAATAATATTACCTGAGTAAACAGGAAGTGCAATCAAACAACTTCCAAAATGTGTAATAAATGATACAGACAACTGGCTACCTGGGTGATCACCCAAAGTCTCATTTGCAACATTGGAGCAACCAACTTTGATTAAGGCTTAGAATAACTGATAGACCATTTTCAGAGACAGGAAATTTTTCAAAACTGTCTTACCCAGTCTTGGCAAGATTTGACAGTCCTTTTTCTTGTATCCTGCTTCTCTTATCTGGACATTGTGCATATTGTCAATGGTCGAGGCTTGGGCAATTCCTTGCCCAAAGGCCAGTTTTGCCAAGAACAATGTATAAGTATCTTGATCAGAGGTAGAAATGTATAGTGCAGTATGATAAATATATCCTAAAATTATATTAATATACAAAATGTCTTAAGCAGAGGTAGAAGCATGCATACATACAATATTACAATATAATTTTGCCTAGGTGTACAAATATTGTAGACATAATAGGAACATATTCAATATAATCTGAATTTGTATCAATATACAAGAATCTATACCAATGTAAATTGTCTATAAATAATAGCTCACAAGTAATCTCACTATTACTCATTATTATTATTAGTGTAAGTAAGCTCATAGTAATCTATTATCCTATCCAATTTATCTCTTATTTTTTTCAATGAGTTCCCTGAGCCTATATAATTTCCACCCCAATCTAAACCCCAACCCTATACCAATTATAATCAACCCCTAATAGATGTCCTTAACCCCGAAGACAAACTTTGTTGGGAGAGGGAATGTCATCTTCTAGAGTTACTTCCAGCTTTCATGGGAATGATGTTCTTTCTATGGGATCCTGTGAAAGTAAAATGATGGTTAAAGTTCAAGATTACTGTCTTGTATAATTGCAAAAAGTCTCCGAGTATTCTGTAGGGTTTTTCTGAGGCTCCTATTTGGAGTTCTGGCCATAACATTGTAAAAAAGGTGCACCATTTCAGCTAACTAAGTTGGAACCATCTTGAGCAGCTGGTACCCAAAACAGGTCTTATATAGTGGTATCAGCATCATGACATCATATCAACCAGGTGAAGTTTTCTTCCTGGAAACTTCAAAGATTACTGCAGGAAAATTCATTGTTCATTGTGGAAAACTTAAACATTATTTATATAGACATACACTCAATGAAAGGTGTGATATAGACAAAATAGGTATGGAGAAAAGTTACATTTTTTCCTAAATTCTTTCTTCCTTCTGTCCCATACCAGATGACATGAGACAGAAACTCTGAATTTTTCTTTATTAATTTTGATGGTATTCATCGCTTTTCTTCTCCTTTGGAAACAAGAGCAAAACTCCTTCCCCAATGTACCACATCTCCTGGTTTCCACTGTGAGGTCAACACATCCTTGAAATACACTGGCTGATATAATTGAGAAGTTTTTTCTGTTTCAATGTCTCTCTGCTGTTGTTGCCTACAGCGCACCTGCTCTGCTTCCTGGCTGTAGATGCTGGGGGACCATCTGCCTCACACTCCTGCTGCCATGCCTTCCCTGTCATGCTGGATCATATCTTCTCAACCACAAGCACAAGCAAAGCCCTCCTTCCACACCATGCTTTTCAGGTATTTCATCCCAGCAACAAGAAAAGGAATGATTATAAAGTGGTTTCTGATGTTCTTACTCTCTAAAGAAATAAAGCTTGTCAGGTGCTTGCAAGCAAGGGAGGAGTGACAGGCTGGTGTCTTTCTCAACTGCCAGTTG